ACAGATTTAACACAACTTGTGAACAAATGGACTTAGTAGATCTTTACAGAGTATTTTTCCCAACAATAAAAGAACACACACTCTTCTCAGCTGTGCAAGGGACAGTCTCAAAAATAGACCATATACTAGCACATACAGCATGCTTAAATAAATGCAAAAGAATTTAAATTATCCACATATATTAACTGATCATGGTGCAATGAAACTGGAAACTATTGACAAAAGAAACTGCAAAAACTCCTTAACGACATGGAAACTAAATAACATCCTCCAGCGAGGAAATGGCTCAGTAGAATAAGCGCTTTCCTGGCAAGCGCAAGGGCCTGAGTTCAGCCCCAGGTACTGAAATAAATAAATAAATAAATAAATAAATAAATAAATAAATAAATATCCTCCTAAACAATCAATGGGTCATAGATGAAATTAAGGAAGAAATAAAACAATATTTAAATAAAATGAAGATAGAACCTGTGGTATGCAATAAAAGCACTCTTGAGAGGAAAATTTATAGCAATAAATTCTCACATCAAGAAAACAAAACAAGCCCAAATAAACAGTCTTATGCTGCACCTCAAGCTCCTAGAGAAAGAAGAGTAAGTTAAGCCCAAAGTGCAAAGAAGGCAGGAAATCATGAAGATAAGAGAAGAAATGAATGCAATGGAGATGAAGAAAAGAATTAATGAAAAAAAAGGTTGGTTTTTTGAAAGAATAAATAAAATTGACAATCCCTAGCCAGGGTTGCGCTTCTTCCTCTGGGCCATCTCCCTGGCCCCGCCAATTTTGAATATTTGTATCTGGTAACTTCAACAACTAATTTGAAGATAATATCATGCAATACAGCAAGCACTGTTGAATTCCTATTACTTGGTTTAGTGAAATTTTTGTATTACTAGTGAATGAAATTAAAAATGTAATCAAAAACTTCCCACAAAGAAAATCCTAGCTCCTCAAGGATTCATAGCTAAATTTTGCCAGACATCTTGAGAAGATTCAATGCCAGTGTTTTCAAACTCTTTAATGAAGAGTCATTATTAAATTACTTGATCAAACTATCATGCCTATATCAAGTAATATGAGTAACAAATTTGATGATAACCATATGTAATATAATAACCATTGTTAATTGTCTATTCTTATCTTGAAATTCTGTACCAGTTTTATTGTTTTATGTTGTTTTTTTTTTTTTTTTTTTTGGTCTTTGTCCCTGTTGTTTTGTTTCATTCCTCTTTAAAATTTAAAAGAAAAAACTCTTCAATGTAAATGAAAGGGAAGTAGTTCTGCAAAACTCATACCTCAAGGCAAATATTACTCTGATATTGAATCCTGAGACCCAACCAAAACAGAAAACTATAGGCCAATCCCCTTAACGAACATAGATGAAAAAATGTTCAGTAAAGTACTAACAACAGAATGTAGCAAATCATCAAGAAGATTATGCATTATGACCAAGTGAGATTCATCCCAGGAATACAAAGATGGTTTCATACACACAAATCCATAAATGTAATATGGCACATCAACCGAGCCAAAGACAAAAATTTCATGATCATCTTAATAGATGCAGAGAAAGCTTTCGACAAAGTTCAACTCTCATTCATTATAAAATCCCTACAGAAAACTAGAATAGCTTGTCTTTTCCTCAATCTGATAAAAGCCATCTATGAAAAACCAACAGCCAATATCATACTAAATGGACAAAAATTGAAAGTCTTCACTTTAAAATACGCTGAGCTGTGAAAGGCTCAAGTCAACAACTTCTGCGGATAACCCACTATTATTGTGGACTGCTGGACTATGTTGGATTGTTTTGCTGAATTCATGCACCTATAATATTTAGATGCCAATGGAATACCCATCTCAGACAGGACTAAACAAAAAAAAGGGATATGAAGGAAGGACCATTTTGTATCTATATAGAGAGAATAGTTTGGATAGATATATAGCTACTTTTGCTTAATTCAATGAGAAGAAAGATTTGTACTAATAGTGTTTGGACAGGATATCATGTCTGCATCTTGTACTATGGATAACCACTAAGAAGATAACAATGTACAATGTATCAATTATTGAAGCTGTCCTATTAATCAGTTTTGAAACTGTCTCATTGTTATTTGTTTCTCAGGAAAATAAAATAAAATCAGGAACAAGACAAGGATGTCCACTCTAATTCCTCCTCTTTAATACAGTTCTGGAAACATTAGACAATTAGACAAGAGAGAAAAATAAAAGAATTGATGATTGGAAAGGAAGAAATGTAATGATCATTCCCTGTAGATGACATGACACTCCATATAAAAGTGTGAAATACTCTACCAAGAAACTTGTAGCTTTAGTAATCAAATTTAGTAGCATATCAGTATACAACTGCTCAAAAATCAATAACATTTCTGTATACAAACAACAGATGCTTTGAGAGGAGTTAGAGAAACCACACCTTTCCCAATAACATCCAAAAACGAAATACTTATGAATCAATCTCACAAAGAAGTAAAAGATTTATACATTGAAAATTATAGCACTTTGAAAAAAGTGATCCAAGAGGATTTCAGAAAATGAAAAGATATTTCTTTCTTCTGGATAGGAAGAATCAACATAGTGCAAATGGCCATACTCCCAAAACTGTTACACAGATTCAGTGCAATCTTGATTAAAATATCATTAATGTACCTCACAGATCTAGAGAAACTGTTCTTAAAATTCATCTGGAATCAGAAGAGGTCTAGATTGCAAAAAGAAATCCTGGGAAACAAAGGAAAGGGAGGAGATATTACAATCTCTGACATGAAATTATGCTACAAAGTTACTGGCATAAAATCAATATGGTACTGGAAATGTAAAAAAGCCGAGTTGGGGATCACTGCAACAGATTAGAAGATGCAGACACAGCTACAAGCATGGAAACAAGCCAAACATGCTCACTGGAAGAAAAGGAGCTTCTTTAATAACTGGTGCAGGAAATACTGGCTTTCTACATGCCAAAGACTAAGATTAGACCTATGTTTTTTTTGGTTTTTTTTTTTTTTTTTTTTTGGTTTTTTTTTTGGTGGAACTGGGGATTGAACTCAGGCCCTTGTGCTCACCAGAGAAGCACTTATTCCACTGAGCCATCTCCCCAGCCCCGATTAGACCTATGTTTATCACCATGGATAAAGCTACAATCAAAATGGATCGAAGTTTTTTATGTATTTAGTACAGGATCTACACAAATGAGACTCGTAGTGATTCTCCTGTTTTCAGCCTCCCAAGTGCTGGGATTACATGTGCACGCCACCACACCAGGCCCCGGGGGGATCCTGAGGATCAAACTCCTGGCCCCTGCATCTTAACAGACACTTTAATCCGCTGAGCTATTTGGCCGGCCCTCTGCTGGTCTATTAAATGGAGCAGTTAATGTTTAAATTATTTTTCTTTTTTTTCAACTCTGCATGTTTATATCTGGTAATCTAAACAACTAATCTGAAGATAATAATATGTAATACAACACTTGTCGAATTCCTATTATTTTATTTAGTGAAATTCTGTATCATTTCTAATTTTTTTCTTTTTCTTTTATTCTTTTGTATTCTCTTTAAAAAAAATTAAAATGTGGAATATGTTATAAATATCAACAAAACACTAATTGTAAATAAATTAAACCCTCTGTTTAGGTATGTAGCGACAATGTAACAAGTTAAAGGAGAAAAAACTAACCATTTATGTGCAACTGAGCATAAGGAGTGCATTCCTGTGCGCAGTTTATTTGCTTCTCCAGGAGGCGAGTGTGAGGACGAGCCAGGCCCCAGGGAGGCCCGAGCTTCTGCGGACGAGCCAGGCCCCAGGGAGGCCTGAGCTTCCGAGGACGAGCCAGGGCCCAGGGAGGCCCAAGCTTCCACAGCTTTCTCCTGAGTCCCGCTGGCCAAGCTCCAACATCATATCAGGTCCCACATGACACTGTTTTAGCTCAGAGCCCCCGAGCTAAGGGTTTGTGTTTCATGCTTAAAACATGAGACTTCACTGAGTTCTGTAGACACCCATCTCAGTGGCTCTTCACAAACATCTTTTTGGTAGCATCAGTTTTGCCATCTCTGTTCCACAAATGAGGAAACTAAGCTCTGCAGAAAATAAATAACTTCCAAGTACGTGGAAAAAATCCATGACACCTACACGACCTACATCTGTGTCCTAATTCCTGTTAACCATTTTCATTCCATCTCTGCACAGGTCATGAGAGATGAAACCATTTTTTCAGAAGAACAGGAGAGAAAATTTCTCCATCATTTATACAAGCTTCCAAAGATTTTCTGATTTCTGACTCACAATTCAGGAATACCTTTCCTTCTTTTCTAAGACAAAGGTAGGCTTCTCTATTTAATAAATGCTTTTAATTTGAAAACATAAGTGAATTAGAAGCACTGGGGTATCTACAATGTGACTCTATATGTTTATGCCCTATATGATTCCCTGGATGCTTTTTTGGAAACTCTGACTTGGAGATGCTGGGGCACAGCTGAGCGGCCGAGCACCTGGTGGTGTGCACAAGGCCCGGCTTCCAGCCCAGCACCACTTTAGAATACTTAGGTGTCTTCCACTGAGAGATGTAGGTTAGGGGTGGCATGCTTGCCTAGCATGTGTGAGGCCCGGGCTTCTATCTTCAAAACAGCTGGCATTGAAATGGGCCCAGTTCTGAACTGTGAAAGCATTTTTAACTAGCAGGGCGTACAGTGACACTGTATTTATGAATTTTTATGTTGATATTCTTAATAAAATGACCAAAACCTCAGAGAGATGATGACCTGATTGGGTAGAGGTTAAAACTTTATCCTTTTCCCTATACATAGCTTTTTTGTTGTTTTCTAATTTTTAAGATAATAAAAAGTACAGAATTGGAGTAGCTTACAGAAACAGTGTGACGATGCAGTACACCTACTGACTCTAGAAGAATTTATATCAATCTGTTATGACCATCATTTCATTTTAACGATTTCCTCACAACCTGATTTTTTCTTTATTGGTTCTTCTAGAAAAATCTGGCGCTGCAGTGGTCAAAGCAGATTTCACAGTCAGATGTGCTTCTGAGTCTCAAGCTGACCTCTTATAGGTACTGAATGTAAGAAATGCATATACCTCCCCAGTCCTCCGTTTTCTTCTCAGTAAATGAGATGTATATGCATAAATGATCAAACAGGTTCACAAGCATAAATTTTAACCTGTTACTTACTTAAAAATATGGTTTAAAGATAAATTCACGTAAGATTTGTGGTCTCGACACTTCAGTGCTTTTCTCTGCTCCTCTTTTGAGCCGTGCACATTAAGACGGTTGACCATGTAATCCACAAAGATGTCTCAGCCTCGGCAATGCCTAGCGCTAGAGGTCACTTTCCCGCTGCGCTTCACACTCACACACAGAATAGCATCCTTAGCCATGGCCCAGAACGACTTCCATATTCTGCCCCATGAATCCCCGTGATTATGTTGCCACAGATGAGAAGAAAAGAACTGCACACAGTGATAAGGTTGAGGCTTTGGGGAGGCGAGATGATCTTGGAGCATTCACAGGGCCGCAGTGAGAGTAGCTGTCACTAGAGACCATAACAAATGAAAACAAATAACAATTTAGCTCAGATTATTTATTGGCTGATATGCCAGCAAACGCAAATAGTGCAAACTCCAGAATCTGGTTACATGGACTCAAGGACAGAAATAGGAAAATCAAGACTGGTCTGATAGCTCAGTGGACTAAAGTGCCTGCTTAGGCAAAGCACAGTGGCCAGGATTCGATCCCCAGCATGCTGTGCCATCCCTACCCCCAGGGCGCACTGAGACAGTGACTGAGACTGGGCGTGGGGGTGGACACCTGTAATCCCAGTGCTTGGGAGGCTGAAAACAGGAGGATCACTACAAGTCTGATCTACGAGGTGAGACCCTGTAGACCCTGTAGATCCTATAGACCCTGTAGATCCTATAGACCCTGTAGATCCTATAGATCCTGTAGATCCTATAGATCCTGTCCTAAATACAGAAGAAATAAAAGAAATAGGAAAGTCAGGTATAGGGGAATATCAAAAATAGAGGGGGAGATCATTATAGATACGTATACAACTCATTTTATATGAAGAAAACTTAGGTGTCTTTGGCTGAGTGATGTACATTCATGGTAGAATGATTGTCTCATGTGTGGTAGAATTACAATGATATTGAGTTCATTAACAGTATTTTGGTTGGAATCCACATTGTCCAAATCTTTGCTGTGTGTACTAACTGTCATAGACTCTTGAATAAACTCAACCATTTCAAATTCATGCTGCCAAATTACTTCCTAGGAAATTGGGTCTCAGGAGCCAGGGAGGTAGCTCAGCAGCATAAGCATGTGCCTGGCAAGCACAAGATCCTGAGTTTGATCCTTGGCAGCAAAAATTTTTTAAAAAAAGAAATAAAATGGGCTTAATAAATCATCTAGTGGGATTGGTGAGAAGATTAAATGACACTTAAGGCTGGCAAGGGACAGTTAGAGCCACATAAGGCATTAGGCCCACTCTTACCTGGCAGAGGGGTTTATTTCAGGCATGTGACACTGGACAATTCCCTATCCCACTCTTGTGATTCAGTCTGCTCGTATATAGAATTAATAAATGGGAATTACAACCATGAATACCTCTCCTCCTCAGCACACAATTGTACAGATAGGCACCTAGCAGTCTTTCATAACACCAAGCTTTAGGTCTGCAGAACACAGAGAGCAGTGGGTTGTCATGATGAAATACTGTATCCACATTTCCACAGCTGTGAGTTGCCTTGCTGGTCTGCTGCTCCTTTCCCTCCATTTGCCATCAATTGCTTTGTGACCCGACCATACCACCCATGGAGAACACCACACAGGTGGGTGTGTTCCTCCTTCTGGGACTCACCAGCACCCCAGAACTGCAGGTTCCCCTCTTTGCAGGGTTCACACTCGTCTACCTCACCACTCTGACTGGGAACCTGGGCATGGTCCTGCTGATCCTCCTGGACCCGTGTCTGCATACCCCCATGTACTTCTTCCTTGGGAACCTATCCCTGGTGGATTTCTGTTGCTCCTCAGCAGCCACCCCAAAGGTCCTGGCTGGGTTGCTTGCAGATGACACACTCAACTCTTCCAATGCGCGTGCTGCTCAGATGTTCTTCTTTGTCCTCTTGGCCACCAGGAGAGTTACCTCCTGGCTGCTATGGCCTACGACCGCTTTGTAGCTGTGTGTAAGCCCCTGCACTATCCTGTGATCATGACGAGGAGTGTGTGCATTTGCCTTGCCATGGGCTCCTATGTCTCTGGGTTTCTGACTGCTGCTGTTGAAGTTGGAGACACCTTCTTCCTCTCTTTCTGTGGGGCCAGTGTGGTCCACCACTTCTTCTGTGATGTTCCAGCAGTTATGACTCTGGCTTGCTCTGAGAAGCTCATTAATGAACTAATTCTTGTTTTGGTCACAAGCTTTCATGTCATTTTTGCACTAGTTGTTATTTTAATTTCTTACCTGCTTGTATTTATCACCATTTCTAAGCTGCACTCAGGGGAGGGAGTCAAGAAGGCTTTGTCCACCTGCCTCTCCCACCTCACTGTAGTTTCCTTGTTTTATGGAACTGCCACCATCATGTGCCTGCAGCCCAGCTCCAGCCACTCCATGGACACGGACAAGATAGCGTCCGTGTTCTACACCATGGTCATCCCCATGCTGAGCCCCGTGGTCTACAGCCTGAGGAACAAGGAGGTCAAGAGCGCCTTCAGGAAGGTGTTCACATGCACAAAACTGTCTTTAAGACTTGGTTTTGACTTTGGAGGAGACACAAGCACTCTATAGAGCGCGGCTCTTTCTCCTTTACTAAATCAGATATTAAGCCTCAGGCAGAAGTTTCGATCCTCAGAACCTCAGAGGCTATTGTCTAGAGACAAAGAAATGTGTCTGGAAATGTAATATGTAAATAGAAAGTCTTCAGTCATGATTTATCTTGGTTCCTGCTTTTCAAAAATCTTTTAAAGGCATTTTATTGATTAGGGCACTTCATGTATTTCCTTGATGACAAAGGAATAGATTTAGTCACACTACAGGGTGTCCATGTGCCCATCATCTACTCAGAAATATATCTATGTGATCACATGTAAGTAAAGGTGGAATATTGCTTGGCATAGGTAGAAAGTGGATCAATTTGACAAAAATTAATTCAATAATTAATTGATATCTTAGGAACTTACCCCATGACTAAAACACTGTTTATTCATTGAGTTGATAGTATTACTGGACTAATGATTTAAAACATTTGCACATCTTAATGTAGAGATTTAGAAATACAGAGTTAAATGAATTAATATCTCCTTGATTGAACTATTTTATACAACCAGCATGTTCATGTCTAAAATATCAAGAAGAGAGCCCAGAAAAGCAGCAGGAAACTGCAACGTTTGATGATGTATTCATGCCTATCAAGTCTCATGTCATTTTAAAACTTCACCAAGATCTCAGCACAGCTCTCCAGTTTGCTTCTGAAGATGCTTTCCCAGGCCAACGCCCTCCGCTGTGCTCAGGCTGAGCTCCCGGGTTTTGTTCCCCCCCCACTGTTACCCATTTCATGTTCGCTGACTTTCTCTGTCATCTTCACCACTTCAGACAACTCCGTGGAGGCCATCATCTCAGTCTTCTGCTCAGGTCTTTGCTTCGCGTTTCCATGTTAGAGTGTCCTCCTCTGATCACCATTGCTCAGCAGTCACTCCACATGGGGAACGTGCTAGCCCTGCACCCTACATCGAGCTTCGTGCTCCCCTCCAGCGACAGCAGAAGAGCAAACCCCCTTGACAGAATTCTCACAGTGAAGTACAGCTGCAAGGATTCTCCAGAGCAAAAGATAGATGATAGATAGATAGATAGATAGATAGATAGATAGATAGATAGATAGATTGATAGATAAACAGATAGATCTAGGAAGAGCTTTATTATGACAAGTAGCACCATGAGAAAGGCTGAGCACTCCTATGACTTTCTGTCTGTGAGCTAGAGCCCCAGCAGTGCTAGAGGTCCAGCCTCAGGTCCAGCCCAAAGCCCTCACAAACAGAGGAGATGGGCTGAGAAGCAACCAAGGGTGAGAGCTGAGGACCAGAGGGGCTGGGGTCCCAGGACTTCCTGCTGAAGTGCACAGAGCACACTCACCCTGCCTCTGCCTCCAAGCATTGCTTGGTGCCTGCTGCCTGCCCCAAAAGTCATCTCTACTCTCTGCCAATCCCCATGCTGACCTTCCTGGAACAAGCTTCACATGTACTCTGATGCAATGTGTAATCAGCTTTCTAGTTTGTTGTTGGTTTTGGTTTTGTTGTTGGTGGTGGTTTTTTGGGTTTTTTAGGGAAGAGTCTACAGGATGTTCAGGGTCTTACTACCAGATCGGACTCATAGGGATCCACCTGTTTACAGCCTCCCAAGAGCAGGGATTAAAGGCACGTATCACTACACCCAGTCTCAATTGCCATCTCAGTGCGGCCCAGGCGTGCGGCCAGCATGGCAGGCCCAGAAATGGAACCCTGGCTGCTGCGCCTGCATGCAGGCTCTTTAATCTGCTGAGCTACTTGGCCAGCCCTTAGATATTTTTTAATTAGTTAAGATTGTATATGAAATTAATTTATATTTCAGGAGGAGCAATACAAGTCTGAAATGCATATCAAGACCCTGTAGCAAATAAGTGAAAAATAATTTTAAAAAAAGAAATTAATGGAACAGTTAGAAATAAATAAAGCTAAAATATATCACTGTCCCATGAACCATAATATATAGAAAAAAGGAAATCAATGAGAAATCACAGAAACAAAATATATATTAATCTTTCTACAAAATTCTTTGATGGAAAGTATAATGAGAAAAGACAAAATAGAGTTTAGAATCAACTTATGCAAAATAATGCTTTAAAACTATTTTTTAAAAAGCTTAGAGTGCAAACAAGTAGAAAATAAACAATTAAGTGGTAGGCAGCACACATTGAGAAGGCCATATGGGAAAACTGTGAAACAAATAAATAAAAGATATAAATAGAAAATAGATAAACACTTGACACATTGAATAAATATAAGTATCTGGGTTGAAGAACTGC